CCGTGCAATACTGTAAATTGGAAAGTTAGCGAATTTTTCGGAGATATCTGGTAAAAGAGGAAAAGAGGGATTTTGCGTTTTCTCGACTAAAAGTTTCTTTTCGCGGGTGAGAAAGGGCATGGAACGGCGGTCTCTCATTCTAGTCGGCTTCCGGCGAGCATTCGACCAGACCCCCCGGGATTCACAGTATATGTACAGAAGCGTACCACCATCCAACCCCCTTGTTCTCACCCCCGTAACCCGGGGACAGAGTCTCCGGCTTCTCTGCTCGCTGGAATGGCCGGTGTGACAAGGTACGGCACAAAGGAAAACTTTCATCTACCACCCGCCACGGAAACAGGGTCGCCGGTCGTGGCATCGCGACGCGAGAAGAAAGAAACGGAAGGTTTATTTTTCAGAAGGGAGCACAGCCTAAGATTTATGTCTACTCTCACCTGCTGACGCGTACCACGCTTTTTCTTCGAATTTCATGCCACCAGAACACGTCGATACTGGATGGTCCAATTTTACCAAGGGATCGATGCATAATCGGGGAAAGCAAACGTTTGAGCGAATGAACTGAATGTAAATAATTTGTATGTATTACACATAGAGGTATGCGGAAAGTGATTCTGGCTTGCAATTAATTAGCATTTTGAAAATGTATATTCACGACACTGCATTGGAGATAATGACGCAAATTCGAAATCATTTCTATCAATATGCTATTGTTTTCTTCCTCTCTTTATTTTTCCAGCAATCAGTTATGCATGCAAGTTATTTTTAAAATCGTGGAAGTAAATTTTTATGCGATATACGTACATTCTTTTAGAAGATAGAAACTGAGACAAAAGAGATTCAACCGGAGTGTATCTTGATCTTACAGCGTTCGTTCCTGTTTCTTTCTTTCTTTCATAATCTTACAATTCTTTTGGCTTGTATCTTACTGCTCCTTCCGAGACCCCATTGTCTTTTCATTCAATGCAAAGTGGGACAGAAATGTCACTGGCAATTTTATAACTTCGATCGTAGATTTTCTTCTTAATTCGAAGAAAATTGTTATTTAGTCGTCTGAAAAGTTGCTGGAATTTTTCATATCGGTTAGCTGAAAAGTGTCGAACTTTGTTGAAGCGTATTCAGCGGTGTTTGTTGCTCGTATATCGCTGAAAATTCGCTGAAAGCGTAAGTTATATCGCGAAACGGACCTTCGACGAGTTTTCCTGGTATCGACAACACCAAAAATGGAGCTACCGGACTGAAAAGTTTCCTTTAAGGTTGCACGTTGTTGCTCTTCCGGACGCCTTTCGACATAGTTGCTCGATATCGCTTCGACCCACGATTTCGACACGATTCCCGGCGTGTATTTTTCTGGCTGAGAAACGCTTAATACCTTGGAACGGTTGGTAAACGCGGAAACGAGTTCAAGATTCTTCTTATTCGATCTTTCATTCCGACGAAATGAATTTACGCGAGTAACTTATCCTACAATAACTTCGCTTTGTAACGAGTCTTTTAATTTCAGGTTCGCAGGAACGTGGTCTCGGGATGAAAACGCGAAACCAGAAAAAGCTTCTTTTGTGCCATTCGTGTTTGTATAGAATAGCGTATTGCTACCGAGTCTCAAAGCTACCGGTGCTTCTTTGCAACCACTTTAAAAAGTATAATTTTTAACGCGGTACAGTTTAACCGCAATACAAATATTGAATACACCTCTGTAACGAGCGAAACGTTACTTCTCAAGAAATTATCTCATTCTTTGATCCATTCAAAGTGTTATTACAATACGAATCTCAGAACCTTCTTCTTTAGGCTACTTAATTTTTAGTCACTTGTGCATCTTATCTCATGGACAGATTTTTAAGCACCGTCAAGTGAAATTAAGCTAAATTTCTGGACATCGTAAGTGTGTTTCGCGAACAGCTTGTTCAAGCCTGGAGCACGATACCTCTGGGCGCGGTGTGCTAAGCAATAGGTCGAAGCTTCTAATTAAAGGTAAATAATCGCACTCCCGGACAGCGCATGAATACGAGGCCGTAGGGAGCTCGTTTGCACCCTGCTTTCGCCCCGGCTTGACACTGGCCTCAGGGTGTACACGACCGACAACTGTGTATTTCGTGGAGACGGTAGCGCGTGCAGCCAGCTTGTACTAGAAAATTTCGTATTCCCTCGCATAAGCAGCCTCCTCCACTTCGTTTCGTGATAACGCGGAGCGTTTTGTGACGCCAGAAAGCAGATTACGAGCTAATGTTCTTGAATAAAAATGGTACTTTTTTGTAAGAACCTAATACCACATCGTTTTCATGTGAAATAACAAAATAATTGGAACCAAAGATTATCGTGATAAACGTACAAGGAATTTGCGGTTCGTTCCTGAAATCGGGTCAGTCTATTTCGGATAGGGCAATCACCCTCGACGTCAGATATCGGTCGGTTTAAAAACAGAACGAAATCATAGGATATGCTGTTTTTTTCAGAGTGTTTGAATCGTTTGATGTTATCGCGACAAATGGAAACGTTGTTTCGGGACCACGTATTGAAATATTTATTCAGAGAAGCGGCCGGTTCGTTAGACGCGATCACACGCGATCCGCGCCGCGTATTGACGTACACGTTCGTTATACTCCCGTGTACGCGTGTATTCCCGTCGAATTTTCATGGGGCCGGTAGTAAACTTTTCGCGAGTAATCAGTTTCGTCCAATATCACGCTGCAATCGTACCTTTTAACAGCGAAAATTCTACTTGGATAACTCTTTTGATCTCATTTGATGCTTAAAACTCTTACTTTAAGTTTCATATTTTTATTCTAACCGGCGCTAGTTTGGCGCCGCTCTGCGTACATATTGCAAAGCGAAATTCCGCTCTCGATACGTAAGCACGAAGCTCGATAAAGTTCACGATTAAACGATAATCATCGGTCAAAGATAGAGTCTCGATGGGTGTGTATTTTTTTACCGAACGCCGATTGGTCGTCAGCTGGCACACGACCGATTATCGGTGGTGGTGCCGGTTCGACTAGAAACGACCGGTTTCAATTTGCAGGTCAGGTTATTTGGTAGGTTGGAAAGGGGCGGACGGGTGCAGAGCCGCGGCCGGTCGGCCAGCTCGCCGGCAATTTGCAATTTCCTGCCAATTCTGCTATCTCGGCAGAGTACGCGTGTAAGCGGCCCTGCGTATGGCCAACACCATATTTCGTCGAGCCTTAATTTAGGAACGCCGAACTCGCGTTATCCGCGCGCCTGTTGCCCGCTCGCATTACCGGCCGATACGATGTAACCTAATCTCGGTAACGAATTCGGTCAACGTATTTCCCATCCACGATTCCCCCGAATTCGTAGTCGAACCAGGGCTACGCTTTCATCCTACAACGAATTGTCTCGCCTAACCGGACAGAGACAGATACAATAAAAGCTCGCTAATGTATGCAAAACGCGTAATACCCGGCCAACAGGGTGCTACGCTCCGAAACGAGCGCCACTCGAAGGAAACGCCGCGCCGGTCCATCGAGGACCGACGGCTATTCGGAGAAATTGCTTCGCAATCAACGAGCATCGAGCCGAAAGGAATATGTAAATCGAGAGATTTTTTAACAAGTTTCTGCCTGCCGGTGCGGTGCACCGTTTGCTTCTATTTCCTCTTTCTACCTCGCTCTTTTGTTCTTCCCGTTGAGTTTGTCACCGGATAATATTCGATTTTTGTTTTAATATCAAGAAATTTGTTTCGAACCAAATTCAATTTTTAACGAAAAACTAAAAGCAAAGGTTTCTCTACTTTCTCTTCGTGCTGTAATATTCGTCAAAGTATTTCCAGCACGATTTCCATACGAATTCCCTGCGATGCTACGGTTAAACGACGCGGTTAACAAGAATTGAGACATTACGCGAGGAGGGCTTGCACCCTAGCGTGAATTAAAGCGATACACGAGTTGGTTAGAGCGTTGTAGAGAAAACGGCATCGAGTCAGTTCACGTCGAGAGATTCAGCTTCCAGACGAACAAACGGCTGTCACCAATGGCCAAATCTCGGCCGAAATACATTTTCCTCCGTGTTTCTGGGCAACGCCGCGCCGGGATACGTTCTACACCGTACGGTCCACTAAATTCGGAACAATTGGAAATAATTATAGGTCGTTACGTCCAGAGAATAATAGCGAGTGTATTACGGAATCACGAGAGAGGTTGGCAAGGCGAAAAAGGAAGGAGGAGCGACGAGAAATTACGCGGTCGTAGTTGAAGCGTCGGTGTTACGCCTGACAACTATTGCCATTGTCTTTAATTGTCTAGAATTTTATTAACGATCCTTTGCATAATTTTTTATCGCGCAATAAGTGACGGGGTGTTATAAAAAAGCATGTCTGAGATGAAAGAAAGTAGGTAAAAGCCATGGAGCCATCTTGTCGCATATGAGATTCGATTCCTCCTATTCTTCTCGCTTCGTGATTTAAGAACCTAACCCAAGGAAGGTAAGGGCCTCTCTGTCCGTTCGTCTCTCTTTATTCAGTCGATATTAATTAGAACGTTTCACCGTGAATACAAGCTGTTCATTTTCTCGTGAAATTGAAACGGTTCACACCGCGTTCGTCTATAATTACCTGGCCAAAGATCGATCGTAATCGGTCAAAGCTTAATAAATCCTGTACTTTTTCGTGTGTGTTTTCCTGTGATCCTTAACCTTTTCATTGCGAGAGGATTCAATACGAAGAGCATATCGCGGGCAACAAATTTTATAGCAGCGACAAGCCAAAGCTTTTGGTGACTATTTCAAGAGGTGACTACAAAGAAATTTTCTCTGCTAATATCGGCAAGTTTCCAAGTACATTGCGCGGTAACTCATAAAAGTTATTTACGATGTTACGTTTCATAAACGTGTTTCGCTTTCGTAAATACGAGATATTACATTTTCTAAACATGTTTTTCGTAAAGCGTAAATACGCCATGTATTTAAACATGTTTGGTTTCTGCGAGGTGTGAAACGAGCGGGAGCATAACCTCGAGCTAAATTGTTTTTTTTCCTGTGTTTTCCAGGTAAGCGCTAATTTTCACCGGTCTAAATATTTTCCGAGCCGTGGCTGTACCCCAGGGGTTGCCGACGAGAGGGTCATATAACCGTGGCAGATAAGAGGACGTCGAGAATCACAGGTATTCTAGCAACCTCCTTTATTTCTAATTGCATTTCGAGTTAATGGAATACGCTTAATCGCGCAACCGAGTCCGCCGGAATTCGAGCCGGCGATTCTGCAAAATTAAGCGGGTCCTTTTCCGTCTGCAAATCGTCCTCTTACGTGATATGCGAAACATTGTGCACGCGTGCGCATATACGCGAGACACATTCCTCGCGTTCGTGATTACTCCTCCAGCTTTGTTCTCATTTGCCACACAATTGTTCCGCATTGTTGCTCAGATTGATCCTGTTTGATGTAAAATTTGCCAAAATCTCTCCGAAATAGATGGCATAATCTTCTTTTTAAATTAAGAGGTTTGTAACGGTAAAAGAATTATGATTTTTATTCAGGACTTGAATTTGATTCGCCAAGTGTGAAATTAGTCTTCCGTCGTGTATCTCGCACCTACCGTGAAATTTACATTTTTTCATTATCCGAGAAGGTATTCGAAGTTAACAGGCACATTATTTTGCAACAATGATTAAAAAATCATTTAGTCGACGATGTTTATCGATGTGTCCATTAGCAGTAAATAGAAAAAGGGTCGGAACTTTCGTAACACGATTTGCACATTCCGGATACGAGGGTCCATTGTTGTTTGTAAACAAATACATACATATATGGAAGATATCGTATGGCCGTGCTTTTCCCAACACGTAGTCAGCCTTTCCGCTTCGTGACGACGACTTCCCGTATCGCCATTTTCTAAGGGATTCGTATTTCATTGGTGCGCGCAGAATTTCGATGTTTCCTTTGAATCTCGCTATAATTACTCCCCCGGGATGAAACAAAGAAACATGGCACAGGTTCCGGTGCATCTTACGCGAATTCTATTAGAAGAAGCAAAGAAACAGGTCAAATATTTTTATTTGTCGGGCGATCATTCGTTGCATAAGACGCGCATCGATGAACGGTTGAAAATGTAGACGAGATAAACTTGGGAACAGCACTTCTAAGAGCACCTTTCGTTTCTCCGGATATGTTTAACGTAGAAACGGCAAATCCGCGGTATCTCTTGGCCCCTTTTCTTCAAAGTTAAACATTTACGTCAGGAGGAAGAAAGGCAAACTGCTAGGGATGAACGGATCCGCTCGTTCTTTTGCCACTTTCGTATCAGCCAACGCACGTGGTCGCGAGCGAGAATCGCCTTCTTTCGGAAATTTCTCTCTGCACGTATCCCGTCTGCAAATTTTACGGTCGAGATTCTGTTCCAGAGCAATTGAGAATCGTTTTAGTCGATCGTAATAGAAATCGTTGTTTTATTTTAATTCAGATAATTCGAGTTACTTTTGAAATACAAGTATTTGTCTGTTCAGTTATCGAATGACTGTCGTAAATAAAATTGGTTTTGATTCATGCGGTTGATAGGTTTCTTGGTAGCTTTTGATTGAACGTTGAGGCGTCAGGTAGGTCGATCGATCAGCGGCCTCTTTAAAGATTGAATCCAGCATGATACACCCAGGAGATTCATAAATTGGTATCAGCTTACGAATTCAATAACGTCAGCGCGGATAAAGCGTGCAAGATTGAGCTCGTTCGAAAACAGTTTCGCCAATTTTAACGCGACGTTAAAGTTGCAACAGGAACAGATTGAAAACTCGATGAAACCTGCCCTGAACACGTTAAACGAACACACTGTGTGTATGCGTGCGTGTAACTGATCAAATTGTTGATCGTTTGTTGATCGCATCGATCTTACGAATATCCGATACCCGCAATTTTCTCTGGAGAATCGAGTATCGTAGCGAACGAAGCCGCGCGAAAAACAACGCGAATAAAAAATGGGAATTTCGGGGCTGGTTCATTTTTTGCGCTGACGTTTCGCAACGATACCGCGAACAGATTGGCGAACATTTGCAGCCCTGGCAAACAAAGCCGCTTTTCCTCGTAGGAAAAACGGCCACCAATTACTAGGCTATTTTTGCATAAACGCAAACGTAATTTCCTCTCGTCGGTCGGTCGGTTTGCCTGAAAGAACGCGGGATGCCCGCTAGAATTTCTACTTAATTGCGTTCAAAGGTCTCGGGATGCGGCGATTGCCTATAAATTTATCGTGCTTTTCTTCCATGTTTCAACCGCATCCATTCATCATCGTATCGCGTGATTCAAAGGGGTTAAAAGGTAGATTAAACCGAGTAATATCGCTTTTTCTTACTCCAATTGGGGAATAACAACTTTTTCACAATTAACACCGAATTTCAGTAGAAAGTTTTTAAGAAATTTCACCATCTAACACGACAGATAATCGACGTCACGGAACGATTTTTCGTCTTCGAAAGCTAAAATCACGAGCAACGCGAAACGTTCAGACGACGAGCGGAATTTCACGTGACTAATCGATGCTAACGATGCTTTAATCGCATCGACGCCGACGCGCGTTTTTCCACTCTTCTTTTTTATCCATTTCTCACTTAACCAAGAATTTTGGCACAGGGTGAACGAGAATCAGCCGAATACATCGATCCGACGATGTTCCAAATAACCGGTCGGAAGGGCGCGTGATCCTCTGCTCTATTTTTCTCCCGGGAACGATAAATTAAAATTAGCACGCGAGATCGTTCGGCGGGGTGGAACTGAATATGGTAAAAAGGAGGGTCGTAGCCGGGACGGGTGTGTTATTTATGCCTCGACGTGCACACTCTATCGTTCCGGTTTTTCCTTTTTTTTTTTGAGAGAGGGTCAATCAACGCTTATCGATCGATTTAATTTAGTCTCGACGTTCAGCCGGCTTTTTTATACGCGCAAAACTCGTGTTTATTAAATTATCGGCGCATTAAGCATCTGCGTTCCACAACGAGCTGCAAAATGCGCGAGTTGTTATGCTCGCTCCTCGAGCAGCCTCTGAATTAAGTGGTTCACCACTTTGCTTCGAAATATACTAGAGGGAGAAAGAATCCATCTTGACCTATCTTTCTTGTTCGACAGAAGTTGTTTCATTAGCGAGAGATCAGTTCGAAAATTAGTACATTTTTCACTAATTAGATAATGATCCTCTCCGGGTCTGGATATATCTGCACCATGTTTATTAGCCAACCCATATCTAATTGTAAGATTGAAAATCTTGAGAAGGGGGCTATAGCATTTAGACTTTCTGTCACTTTTGTATAGGCCAAATGGTAAGAGTTATCGAAAAAATTCTTGCGCCATTGTGTTTAGTGGGTCAAAATCTCAACGAATGGCCGAAATTTTTCTTTTTTCTGCCATTTCCGGAAATGGCTGATAAAGGGTTGTCTCCAGAGCTAATCTCGCTCTAGTTCACTTTAGCTTGTTTAATTCGAAACAATCCTCTTGAAAAGTAAAGTAACAAGCCTGACCAGGCATACGCGCGAAGACATAGAACATGACCGCGTAATCTCGGTGCGTTTCGCTGTGAAACTGAAAACTCGTAAACATCGCCGGCAGCGCGGCTCGGCTAGGCGTAGGGTGCGATATACGCGTCGACCCTTGCGACATAAAGCACCGTTGTCTCGGCTAGGTTGCCGAGCCAACATAATTTTTCTCACTTTGCAACTTGCCCCGTAAATAATAGCTCCGTGTACGCCTCGGCCATAACCTTCTCCTCGTCCCTGTTGCTCGTTTCACCGTCGGCGTCACCCCCGATCCACCCCTATTCGTAGAAACTGCACTGTAATCCCGGTGTACTCGTAAGTTGCCGGCAACGAGAAACGAGGAGCTCCGCCGTGCTACGTTGCAATTCGCCTCTGGCCAGGTTTCGAGCGGGTTTGATATTTATGGTAATACGACACCGGGGGATCTATCAGTCGCGATATTCCGGCGAGATCGGGTGACCGCGATGGCCCGGGGTGCACTCTTGATCCTGAAAAGAGATAACTTCGGTTATCGAGCGAAATGAAATGCGAGCCGACGAGTTTCGTGTCTGTCACCCCCTTTCTCCGCCGACCCTCCGTCAGTTAGCTTGCGGGTTCTTAGTTTTCCTCGTTTTTGTTTTGCACTCACCCTGCCATGACGATTCGTCCCGATGCAACACGGAAATTTACGTCAAAGGTGGAAGCGAGCTGCGGAAGTTGATAGAAGTTGTAATTTGAAAAAATTCGAAAGCCAATGTAGGCGAGTGCGGAAACTAATTTTCAGCCGCAATAGAGTATTGCAATTTTGACCATTCCGAGGGTTCGGAATAGCCGCACCATAAACCTGGTCTCCGTGGCGAAATGCAAGTACCAATGCGCTTAGGTGCGAATTTCCCCTCCAGAACCTACACTGGAAGGAAGATGTCAAAGGCGGGCATTTTGCCTTAGAAACATCTAATTGGCGGAGGCGAAAAACACCTATTATCAGGTAGCGTTAAAGAGAGTTGACTGTGTATTCCGTGTGACGTTTCTGCCATCTCCGAATCCCTGATTCGCCCATACCATCCTACACCAACGTTGCGCAACGATTTACGATTTATATGCAAGTAACATCGCGTTCTTGGTGGTGGTTGATGGGTCGCGGTTATGTTTAACCGTATGTCAATTCTCAGACACGCTGTTGGCCGTAGTCGGCTCGATCGTAGCCAGATGCGCGTAATGGCGGCATTTCCGGTGAAATGGTGCGGGGTATAGCGTCGCCAGCGCAGATCCGTGTAGCCATTAAGCTTCGCGTCTACGGTCAAAGACGGTCGCGACAAAAGACGAATCGGTGATCGAAGAAGCAATAAGCTCGCGTTATGGCGTCTAGCTGGATGAAGTCGTCACGGAGGAAATGTCCTCGTCATGGAAAAATCGTGGCCATTCGTGGCGGACGTGGGCTGATTTCATTCGCTGTATTTCATCGGGACAAAAGACCTACCCATTTCCATTATGCCTGCTTGTTGGGCACGCGAAAGCATCGATGGCCAACAATAACTCGTTAATTATGTTAAAAAGTCAATGACGACGTGTTTACTTGGCTCGAATCGCTCGACGAACTTCCCCATTGTCGAGCTAATAAACGTTGCCGTGATAAATGAACCGAGGTTTCAGGGAAAACCGTTCGAAA